CATTAGTCAAAAATACCTTTTCCAAACCTTGAGCTATGCTTTCCAATGACTGCTTAAATTCCTGGGCCGATAAAACTATAGATTCAGAATTTACTGCTTGAAGAATTAGTTATGTCTGATATATCCAAATAGAGCTCTTTTGTTATTTGATTTCCAAAAAAATTCAAAATGCTTTTCACCATTTTCTGCCTTTGCTTTAGCCACCGTACGTTTAAAAGTGCCTGCAATGAATTTATAATCTGACCACTTTTTGGACACTGATTGGGTAATAGCTTCTTCCAGGCAGCGTTTCTACGCCTGAAATCCCGAGTACAGTTACCATTCCACCATCGCAACACAGGCGTTTGTTCAACTGATTGAACCTTATATTTCGCTTTGCTACGCGACTCCTGTATAATTGAACAAATGCTCAATGCTTTTTGCTTTACCTTTGCTTCAGACAGAGACTCCTTGAAGCCTCGCAAGCTCCTTTTAAAAATATCATAATTTATGCACGTAAGTTTTTTAGCAAGAACAGATATTAGTGAGCATACAATGTCAAATTTAACTGGAATGTGATCGCTATTAGTCGCAGTGTCAACAGTCGACCAAGATAAGATGCCAAGGCCTGATCCCGAAAAAGTTAAGTCTAAAGATGAGGATGACATTCCTCTGATAAAAGTGGGGATACCTGAGTTGACAAGTGAGACTATTACTCTGAGACCAGTCCCACAATCGAGTATTGCAAGGGTTTGTCCTTGAGCCCCAAGTTAAAAGATGAAAGTTGAAGTCTCCCGCCAATAGTACATTATTACCGCTAATAGAAATTACACTATCTAAAGGGTTTGTGTCATGAACCCCTGATGGGTGTTATATATTTTCTATGTGAAATGTTCTACATGGGAAGACTTAAAGAAATTGCTAAAATTTTGTACTCTGGCGACAGAAGCTGAAGTTTTATTTTTGCCTTGTGGCAAAATCTGGTAGAAATTGAAGTAAGTATACCACCTCCTCTTGACAATCGATGTACAAGAAATTATGTATGATTTTTTAATGAAAATACTGATCTGTAACTAACCAAGTTTCCAGTAACAATATAATATCCGTTTTTTCCCCCAACATCGAGACAAGATAAATCTGTGGAAGCTGTAAAAATAGAAAGACAGTTCCACAGTAAGACTTTTAACGGCTCAGTGGCGCGATATTTTAACAGTCGAAACAGCCTTCTCTAGTATGCCGGCCTTTACGACCTTGCTAGGCGGAGCCTTTTTTGCTTTTGTCTGTGACGATACGGAAGAAGGGTTTAAGGGGGATCGGCTACGTTTCTGGGCACGCGAGTCGATTTCAACATCAGGTGTGACACTCAAATCGATAGTAGGAGAGTGACCTTCTCTCTTTGTACGCTTATTAACCACCCGAGTGCCTTCTGGGAGCACCCTATCATCTCTCGTGCTGCGTCTTGCCTCCTGCTGAGATGTCAGTGTAGAACTTGTCTGGGGAGAAGCTGTTGAGTTATTCATCAGCCGAGGTTATTGAGAGATCATTATCTCATACAGACATTCTGAGAAGCTGGTAAATAGCCTGTCCATTGCTTTTGATACTGCCTTTCCTGATGCGGCCTCAATCGTTTGGGCAAATATGGAATCTGCCATTGCATTTTGTCAATTGGCAATCCCAGCATACCCTTGTGTCCTTTCCTTGTTAATTGTCATTGCTTCTCTCGTTGAGCATCGTCACCTGTACATTACTTCCAACAGGTGCTTCTCTTGAAAGAGAGCGGGACAACTGGAATAATCTGCTTTATGAGCACCCTCCCGGAGGCAGCTCTTCTCAGCTTGAACCTTCCAATCAGCGTGCGAGTGAGCCTCACCACAAATGCAACACCGTATTTTAGATCTACACCCACCAGCACTATGGTTAAAACGTCAACAATGTTTACACTGCAGGGGAAGCGATGATAATGGTTCCACCCTGAAGATTAGTGGCCAAGCTTTTATTTCAGATGGTCACGATGTTCCGGCGAAAGTTGCGATGACCGACTCGGTGGCTACCTTCACCTTGACTATACTACTCGATTGCACCGGTAGATAGCTATTACCCCGGCCAAGGAGAGTTTCTCAAGCGTCTCAGATGGGGTTAGTTATGAGTCAAGTCCACGCACAACGCCTTTGGTGCATGCAAGGTGGGGTGGGACATATATACTCATCGGGATAGAGGCAAATGATGAGCATTTCAAAAGATCCGCTCCACAGTCTTTGTCAGGTGATCGGCACACGATATCTCCACGGCCAAATTGTCGTACCTCGCTGATACTTTGGTACTTAGAGGTTATCGCCCGAAGCTGCTCCTGAATCGCCTTATGGGGTTGTTCAACCGGATTGATCCGCTGCCCAAGGGCACCAGTGCAACGGGAATGGTGCTAACGCCGTTGCGCAGAAACAGATCAAGGGGAATCGCATCTGATGGAAGAAAGGCTGTCCATGCCGAACTGCCTTGCCCAGGAGAATGCAAGGACATTGCTGCGATCCCTTGATAATCCCTGATAGTAAACTAACACAACATAACAGATACAAATAGACTCCAAATATGTAAGGCTACCCGATCCTTAACAACCAAAACCACCAGAACAGAGTATTATGTCATCGACTCTGAGGTGGTGCACTGAGAGCAGACAGAACCGTGTCTGTGTCCGTGTCGTTCGCTCTTCGTTTCCGACGACCAGGATGAAAACAGGTTTGAAATATCAGCGTTGTCGTCTCGAGTCGCTGAGCACAAGTTTGGCTTGCCCTGCAGCGTTTTTTTTTCTTTCTTGCTTCGTGATGGCTCTACCCTTTTTGAAGTCCCATATTCCACCTAGATGCTTAATGAAACTCGGATACGATGCTTCGATGAAGGCGAAGAGGTCCTGAATGCCAAACACATCACTTGTTGTGGCGTGCGATGTCCATGCACGTTGTCCTCCACTAAAGGCGCGCTTTACGATCATTACGTGGTTTGTCTCGCGAAACACGAAATAGTGTCATAACATTCTGTATTTCATTTCACGTCCTCAATTTTGAGCGGATACGTACCGATGTAACTTATCGCAATGCCGATATTTTTGACGCATTTTTGAAAAAAAAAAGTCACAGCTTTGCCGCAAAGGCGAAGCAATGAACGTGATAGCAACAAATCGGAAGGTCAGGTGTCGAACGGCAAGCAGATCAAAACGTGCCCCGCGTTTTTCACGCGTACCCACAGTTACGGTTAAACGCGGATAAGGGTCCCAGTTGTGACTTCGCTGTGTCTGAAACGCGCACCTTTTTCGCAAATGGAGACTGTGCAACGATTGCAGTGACCTTTTTGCGCCTGGTAACTACAACAGAAATGTTCTAGTGAAGGACCAACGCCAGCCAAGACGTACATGCACATGCTATGAGCGCCACTGTCGCGCTACTCCGATACTCCGAAAAAATAACGCTAGCGGCCGCGGGGCTGCGTGACAGTCTACAGTGATAGTGACACATGATGACGTTGTCAATTATATTTAACTATAATGAGGATCCATAACCGAACGCATGATGATGATAACATAGTGCGATGAAGAGAGCGTGTATAATAAATCCCCATATTCAGAGCATTTGTGGGTATAAATTGGCAGCAGCAAGCACAGGACCGGGTTAAGTGGCGGAACATGGGAGAGGCCTTTAACCTGCAGTGAACGTAGTCAGGCTGATGATGATGATGATGGTGATGATGATGATGATAATGATGATTCAGAGCATGCCACGGCCATTCAATTCTTTGAAACGGCGTGTCAGAAACGCTTTGATGCCTCGGTCATGTCAACTGGCATGACGCGGTGACTTTCTGTATGAGTCGGAGATGCAATACTTAGTACGTGACACATAACAGCAGAGTGCTCTTACACGAACGTGCTTTGTCCATTTTAATGCAGAAATGTATAGTATTCCCGAAGACGAAAGCGAACAAGCAACTGGATAAAGCATTTTTTTTATATCTTAATGAACCGTTTGTTTTACGTTCTCGATGTGTCGTATACAGGACATTCGAAGCCAGGCCGCAGAAAGTGCTCGAGGCATCTCACAGAAACATTTTTAATGCGTTGTGGACATGGTCATCAGTTTAGCCCACAATAAACTATGGAATTATTAGTGCGCACCGCATTATGCTATATAGAATTATTGGTGCTCATCGCAATTCACTACAGCATTACTGATGCACATCACATCACCATGTAGAATCATTGGTGTAGATCGCATTAGACTATATATTTATTGGTACATCCAGCATTACACTACCGAATTATTTGGTGGTACACACCGCATTACACTGTAGAACATTGTCGTGCGCATCGCAGTTAGTCCTCTGCTACAACCTCGTATGGAGACGCCACATACTTTTACTAATTCTACGCACTGCTGGCAAGGAAGAGACTTCGAACGCTGATATAAACTAAAGGTTATTTTTACCTAAACTTATTTTATATCAAGTACACTTGAACTATTTCGTTACACAGGTTCGCTTTTGGTGAAGGCAGTAGCGTGTTTACCGATACGTTGTACGATACGTGTCTTTCGTGTCCTTCTTGTCTCTGTGTCGTCGTTTTGTTCTCGCGCTATAACTATCGTAACGTTGTACGAGGCGCGTTTCGGCAGTAACCTGAAGATATTTTTCAGCCCTTTTAGGTATGATCACGGCTAGCAAATAGCTATAGCGTGCAGTTTGAGTAGGTCGTTCCATTCGGTTCATGAATAAATATATATCATATGACTGAATGTACAGTTATTAGATAGTCATCAACGCTGTAATCACAATTACTGTCTGTAAAATGCACTACAATTTATTCGGACGCCTCTACTCAGCTTAAACTTGATCCTTGGCATACGACTATGCCAATTTCGCACACTTATATACATTCAATTAGTATGCTTGTCACAAAGAGCCGTACAACGCTTTTGCGCTAATTCAAGAATAGGTGTACTGCGAAGAAAATTGTAAGTTGGAAACTCCAAGGCAGAGAGTGTTAGTTTAAGGCTTTAATGAAGTGTTCTCGTTACGTCCTCGAGTTCCAGGACAGGATTCTCGAGATAGGACCACGGGAAGGAGACGAATGAGAAGGGCCCCCGTAATCCTCGAGTATGAGATGCGCCGCCCTGTCGGCGATCATGTGCACAGGGACGTTCAGGTTGGCCGTCACGATGGTGGGCATCACGGAAGCGTCGACCACGCGGAGGGCCTCCACACCGCCTCGCACCCTGCAAGCAAGGAAAAGCGAGTGACCGCGAGACAGTCGGGACGTGAAATGAGTATCGAGGAAAAAAAAAATTGGCCGCGTATCAACGTGCTTCACTGATAATGTCGTGCCGGCATTCTTTCGTGCATAACGTCGTGTTTTCAGCGCAGCCTAAAAAAAAAAAACTCTAGGGTTTTTAGAATTACGTATCGATGTATTTTCTAGTAATGGAACACACAACCTAGTAACTACGTATTGATGTTGCACCTCCGATAGGCGTAATGTTTGCGTTTTGATCGACTGTGTTCACAAGTATCAACGCAGCCACTCAGCCACCGATTCGAGATGGCTGGGCGTTCAGCAAGCGCTTAAAGTTTGGCAGGCTGGTTGGATCGCTTCGTGTGAAAAACAGACCAAAAGTTCCGCGTTCGATTATTCCAAGAAAAAAAAAACTATGGTCTTTAAAACACGTACCATGCTCAATTAAACGTCAAATCAATCGTTAAATGCGCGCAAATGATATGTACTGAGGGTATGTTGCATAAAACAAAAAAAAATACGGCGAGCAAGCACAATGAAATTAAAGTATTTTCTCTATGTTTACTCTCTATTGGCAGCAAGATGTGCTTTTACACTTTATCCGAGTTTCACTTATTGATTTAGTTATTTAATTAGTTTGTTTATTTACCTTTACATACAGCAGCTCCGTTGTGGCTGTCACAAAAGTTGGGATTATACATCACACGTCAAGGGCCGATAAAAAGCCACGATTCGGCAATTCACGAACATTTCCTGGTAAACCATTCTAATGCACAATTATAAGTAAAAATTAATTATTAATTGCACTGCAAACAATTCAATAAAAATAAATCCTGAGTTCAACGTCCCGAACCACGTTATGATTATGAAAGACGCCGTAGTGGACGGCTCCGGAAATTTCGACCAGCTGGGGTATTTTTGTGCTCCTAAATCCAAATACATGCGCCTGATACATTCGATATACGATTGTAGAGGGACCAAAAGTATATCTGAAAATCTGTCTTACTTTGCAATGTTCAAATATTTAGTTTGTGATAGTTAAAAGTAAAGAAAGTTTTAGCGAACTTAACATATATTGCTAAACTATTGAGGCGTGACGAATCAAAGAATGCGGGTGCATTTAAAATGTCTCACAATTACTACAGTATTTATTTATTTTCTTATCGTAGTACTGAAAGCTCCTGAGGGTATTAAACTAGGAGGCAGAGGGAGAGAATACAAAAGTGCGAACGAGAATACAGATTCCAGCACTTTAACATTACAATAAAAAAGTCAACTTTGCCGCAAATGCGAAGCACACTGAACGCGATAGCAACATATTGTCACGGGGTCGTGACGTGGCCGAAGACAGGAGACTTCGTGTTGGGATTTAACTGTTTATTTGGGCGAACCTGTGCCCAGTAAACGGAAAGTCCGATTACAGCAGCAGTCTTGCACAGATAGCAGTCTCGGACTGATAGCGGCGAACGGAGCGTCGGCCTTCGTTCAACAATTAACTGGAGAGCGGTGAAGCGCGTCGGCATTTATACTCTTGCCATCGAATGTTCTAGCGTTATCGCTGGCGGTGGCGTAGGTTCCAGAACAATGTGTACCGTTCGCACAGTGGGCGTGATCTTATCAAAATGATCTACTACAGTCCGGAACCTTCTCGAAAACTGCAGGCGCGGTTTGCGCTGAGAATCGTGTGGTGTTTTGGGACGATAACGAAAACTTGGGAAATGGAACGTGGCACTGCCCCCCTCTGAAAAAAGGCATCGTCCCGATGCTTTAACTAAAGATGAAGGTACAGTAATAATGCAAGAAAGTACAATGAATAAATTACGATGAAACAATAATACAAAAAAGCACTGTTTCAGTTTGTTAACGCGCACGAAACGGCTTGAGGCGCGCGACAAGCACGACTTCAGGTCGTGATCGGCGTCGTTGAGAGTTCGTGATGCCGTCGGGGACAACCTCGTAATCAAGTGGGCCAAGACGTCGAACCACCCTGTACGGTCCGAAGTAGCGTCGCAGAAGCTTTTCACTTAGTCCACGTCGGCGTATCGGCGTCCACACCCAAACACGTTCACCGGGCTGGTATTCCACGAAGCGTCGTCGAAGGTTGTAACGGTGGCTGTCTGTCGTCTGTTGATTCTTCATACGGAGACGCGCAATTTGTCGGGCTTCTTCGGCACGTTGAAGGTACTCGCTCACATCGAGGCTTTCTTCGTCGGTGACGTTGGGTAACATGGCATCGAGCGTCGTTGCCGGGCTCCTTCCGTAGACCAATTTGTATGGAGATATCTGCGTCGTCTCCTGCACCGCCGTGTTGTATGCGAAGGTCACATACGGAAGAATGGCGTCCCACGTCTTCTGTTCGACATCGACGTACATTGACAGCATGTCGGCGAACGTCTTGTTAAGCCGCTCGGTGAGGCCGTTGGTCTGTGGGTGGTACGCTGTCGTCCGGCGGTGGTTTGTTTGGCTGTATGCCAAGATCGCTTGAGTTAAGTCGGCAGTGAATGCCGTTCCTCTGTCGGTGATAAGGACCTCCGGGGCGCCGTGACGTAGGACGATATTTTCGATGAAGAACTTAGCTACCTCGGATGCACTGCCTTTTGGCAGGGCTTTTGTCTCGGCGTAGCGGGTGAGGTAGTCGGTAGCTACCACGATCCACTTGTTTCCGAAAGCCGACGTCGGGAACGGCCCCAGTAGGGCCATACCAATCTGCTGGAAAGGTCGGTAAGGTAGATCAATTGGCTGCAGAAGTCCCGCTGGCCTTGTCGGCGGTGTCTTGCGTCGCTGACAGTCCCGGCATGTCCTCACATAACGAGTGACGTCAGTGGTAAGACGTGGCCAGTAGTACCTTTCTTGTATCCTCGCGAGCGTGCGAGAAATACCGAGGTGCCCTGTCGTCGGATCGTCATGCAGGGCCTGCAGGAGTTCTGGTCGCAGAGCTGAAGGCACCACAAGGAGGTACTTAGCTCGAAGCGGTGAAAAGTTTTTCTTTTGTAGAAGACCGTTTCGTAGGAAGAACGACGCAAGTGCGCGCTTGAATACCTTCGGGACTTCGGTGGTCCTGCCTTCGAGGTATTCTATTAGGGCCTTAAGTTCCGGGTCAGCCCGCTGTCGTTCAGCGAAGTCGTCTATAGTTATCGTTCCCAAGAAGTAGTCGTCATCCGGGTCGTCGGGTAGCGGTTGGTCGACAGGCGCACGAGAGAGACAGTCGGCGTCGGAGTGTTTTTTGCCGGACTTGTAAATGACAGTAATGTCATATTCTTGAAGTCTCAGGCTCCATCGTGCGAGGCGACCTGAAGGGTCCTTCAAGGTGGCTAGCCAACACAAGGCGTGGTGGTCGCTCAAGACTTTGAAGGGCCTGCCGTAGAGGTAGGGGCGAAATTTCGACGTAGCCCAGATGATGGCGAAGCACTCCTTTTCTCTTGTGGAATAATTTGCTTCTGCTTTGGATAGCGATTGGCTGGCGTAACTAATAACCCTTTCAAGTCCGTCAGCCCTCTGCACAAGAACGGCGCCAAGACCTACGCTGCTTGCGTCAGTATGTATTTCCGTCTCGGCGAATTCGTCGAAATGGGCAAGTAACGGAGGCGTCTGGAGGCGATATTTAAGCTCCTGGAAAGCGTGTTCCTGTGGCGTTTCCCACTTGAATTCCACGTCGGCCTTGGTAAGGTTAGTGAGAGTATCGGCGATGCGGGCGAAGTTTTTCACGACCCGCCTATAATAGGTGCACAGGCTCAGAAATCGGCGCACGGCCTTCTTGTCAGTGGGTGGCGGGAAGTCGGCGATGGCGGCTGTTTTCCGTGGATCGGGATGAACTCCAGACTTGCTGATAACGTGCCCCAGAAACAAGAGCTCCTCATACGCAAATCTGCACTTTTCTGGCTTCAGTGTGAGTCCGGACGTCTTGATGGCTTGAAGTACAGCTTCAAGGCGCCGAAGATGCTCGCCGAAACTCGAGGAAAACACGACGACGTCGTCCAAGTACACAAGGCAAGTCTGCCACTTCAATCCTGCCAGTACTGTATCCATAACACGTTGAAAAGTTACAGGCGCTGAGCAAAGGCCGAAGGGCATCACCTTAAACTCGAAGAGGCCGTCCGGTGTTATAAACGCCGTCTTCTCTCAGTCTCTTTCGTCGACTTCGATTTGCCAATAGCCAGTCTTGAGGTCCATTGACGAAAAGTACTTGGCGTTATGGAGCCGATCAAGTGCGTCGTCTATTCGTGGGAGAGGATACACGTCCTTTCTTGTGATTTTGTTCAGGCGGCGATAATCGACGCAGAAACGTATACGCTCCCATTATTTTTCTTCACTAACACCACGGGGGATGCCCATGGGCTCTTGGACGGCTGGATAATGTCATCCCGCAGCATTTCATCAACTTTTCTCTTCATGGCCTCACGTTCTCGCGTCAAAACCCTGTACGGACTCTGACGGAGTGGTCTGGCATTTTCTTCGGTTATGATGCGATGTTTCGTGATTGGGGTCTGCCGAATTTTCGATGACGACGAAAAGCAATCTTCGTATTGCAGGAGCAGGGCCTTGAGCTGTTCTTGCTTATCGTTCGGAAGTCTGGGATTGACGTCGAAAGCTATGGGAAGGGCTTGGTTCCTCTGAGCAGGTTCTGCAGAATCGGCGGGGGCGAAAGCACTGGTGGCTTCGATAATTTCTTCGATGTATGCGACCGTTGTTCCTTTGTTCACATGTTTGTACTCATTGCTGAAATTCGTGAGCATAACCGTTGCTTTGCCTCCCGCAGCTCTGCAATTCCTCTTGCGACTCAAATATTTCGGGTGACCAACACAACGACGCCTTTGAAGTCGGGTGATTCAGGAGCGCCGACTGAAATAATGACGCTTGAGCGAGGCGGAATGGTGACTTGTTCTTTCAGCACATTCAAGGCATGATGTCCAGACGGCGTGCGCGGCGGTAGTGCTTCTTCTGTGGATAACGTTATCGACTTTGTTTTTAGGTTGATGACAGCAC